CTGTGGAACTCTTTGAAACATGGTGTCATGCACAGTGGTGTTTTGCACTCCTCACACATAAAACGAGTGTCTCTGCGTTGTTGTGGGCGTTTTTTTGTATGTGCACAGACGTAACACCTCTTCTGAGCCTTTTTCTTGAAAGCAGTAGCAGGCAGTTTTACCAGGAAGTGATCACCATGCTTCAGACGAGCAGGTAGTTGTTGAAAATTTGGTGGGCGGTCAATTGCAGGTGCTGTTCCTTGGTACTTGAATACTATTTTGTCTGATGACAAACAGAATTCGCCGTACTGTGGTTTGTTTCTGGTCCTCATCTTATACATATTATAAGCATTGAGCATGGAAATGTCCAGAAGATGGAAAAACAGTTTGATGTACCACTTATAACTCTTGTGAACACAATCAGCAAACCCAATCTGCATGTCACATTTGTCCACTGAACGCATGTTGAAGGTGTAATCAATCACAGCTGCAGGTTTTAGAATGGGTTCATTGCTCTCTCTATGCTGCCTGCCACTGTCTGCCATTTCATTAGGGTGAATTGATGACAACAGTGTGACATCTCGTTTGTCATGCCACCCAAATGCCATGATGTCATTGGCAGCAAACGCATGCACCTCACCTCTACGAGTGCCAGTGTCAAACCTGGGCATATGTTTCCGATTGCACGCACTGTGCCACACACATCTGTCATGTTCACTCGCAAAAAATCAGAGTGAGGGGCTTGTGTACCAGTTATCTGTATATAATATATGCCCCTTACCAAGGTATGGTTTCTATCATTGTTCGAACCACATCACCTGAGATGCCCAATAACTTCCTGGTATTTTGCAATGTATAACTTCCAGTGTACACAATAATATCCAATACCAGACCACTGTAACAATCACAAAGCACAAAACAACTTTATACCAAAGCGTTTCCTCTTGCTTGGTATGTACTGCTTGAAAGAGAGTCTTCCTTTGAACAGAATCAAAGACTCGTCAATTACAAGCTTCCTGAAGGGATAAAAATGCGTACTGAATTTCTCTTTCAGATACACAAACACATTCCTAATCTTATATAACCTGTCATTCTGTCAGGCCTGGTTTTATCTGAGAAGTGAAGCATACGTAACATTAGCACAAATCGATTCACTGGCATTATATCACTGAAACCTGGGGTTGTAATCAGGCGATCTGTTGACCAGTATGATTTCACTTTGTGCTTATACACATGTGGCATAAGCATTATTGTGGCAAAGAAAAGATACATCTCAGCCACAGTTGCCTCCTTCCACTGGTGTAGACGTGATTTTGGTGAAAGTAATGTGTTTGCCATGGTGTACTCGTAGTATGTGTTGCTTTCCATGACAATACTTTTCATCAGTGGTTCGTCAAAGAATAACTCGAAACATTCCAGTTCAGTGGCATTGTTCCCAAGTGTACAAGATGGCCGTATTCCACTTAGGGTGTCATCAAACTGGTGGACATTTGGAACAAAACTGACAGCTTCCTGCCAATCCCAGGTGCGGTCTGCTGGTGGGTACTGGACAATGACAGGTGGTTGTGGTTGTGGAGGTTGTGGTTGTGGAGGTTGTGGTTGTGGAGGTTGTGGTTGTGGAGGCTGGTGTGGTGGGTGAGTGGGGGACGGTGGCCTTTGTTGTAGATCAGCTGAGGCAGCGGCGTGGGTGGCAGCATGGCCCACTGCTGATGCCTCACCGCCAGCACCACTACTACCACGCACATTTTCCATCCCAATTGCAACAGTATCATCGCCATTTTCACTGTCTGTTCCTGTTGTACAGCCACGGGATGTACTCCGAGATACACTCCTTCTCCTTGGTATAACATATGGCACACTACCAGAGCGCATATATCGTCGTATATACTGACGCTTCACTGGGGAATATTGCACTTCACTATCACTACTGGAACTAGTTTGAAGAGCTTGTAGTTCATATTCACTATCACTATCATCACCCATGCTCTCATCTGAGTCTGGGATTTGGGAAAATAGAAGTTTCCTCTTGGGTTCTGGAACAACTGAACGTGAACAAGATGGCCCAGCACCAGAGGTGGAAGGCTGAGGGTCGTCTGGGGTTTCCTCACTATTACCGATATTATGGTCATTAGTTTCGGTCAAAACCTCACCAAAACCACGAAACTCATCTTCACTGGCACTTCCATCAGTATTAGAACTGTCACTGGGGAACAAAAGTGTCCCAGTTCGCCGAGGAGTGAGGAGCTTCTTACCGCGAGGCATGGTGGACATTGTTTACTAAGAGGGCATTCCCACAATGCACCACTGGGTCCCAAATTTTTTTTCTACCGCGCACACCGACCACTCAGACCCATTCTCTCACATGTAGGCCTACCAGCCTTTTCCCGCGAGATTTGACGGCGCTAGAATTTATGCGTACTAGTACGTCAAAAAACCCTACGTGTAAGACGTACTAGTACGGCCGAAACCCTCAAAGGGTTAAGCAACATGCCCCATCATCAAGTACACACAAAATATTGTAATGGCATTTTTTTACACTTTAAAAACACGTCAGTTTTATGACAGGAGAATTTTACGACTTTGTAACTATACAGGCACTAAGTAAGTACAGTACAGCACTGTACTATACATATATATTTACCCATGCACTGCCCACACATCAGTTTTCAGTAGTTATTATATGCTTCATGTAATGTATTTCAAGTGCTCATGATATGTATAACATCCAAATGAAGCAATAAACTACTAAATCCTATTACTGTACTTACTAGGACTTTTTGAAAAAAAATTATTAATGAACAAGATATTCACAAATATAAACATATCAAGTCTCAACCGATTTGGTTATTCCACATTTATAACAAAAATCATAGTATATATCTAAATGGGTTTTTCCAGATTTTAGTAGCAAATAACTGATACTGTAAAGGAAAATTTTTTGCCACTGAGAAATTAAAGCATAAACCTATTCACATAAATGACAATCTTAACACTAGGAGTAAAATAAACCTTAATACTGAACTGGCAACAACTTTAGTAATGGTTAACTGTACAAATAAAAATATATACATCTTCCCATGTGAAATTATAAGATTTATCATAGCAGATATCAATACACAACAGTTAATTATTGTTATAATCATAACTAAGCGCTAAACCCACAAGGGTCATACGGCCCTGCAACGTAACAGTTAAAAATTGCACTCTCGGTAAAAAAACTGCAAAACATTAGAACAACTGATGTTCAGTTTCTTGTTACTTAAATTAGCAAAATACCCAAACATTGCTTTAACATCTCTTGATAGCTTTCAAGATGAGCAAATAAGCTTGGAGTTCCACTGAATTTAATTGGAGCTGTGAAAAAACTTGGTAAAAATTTTATTCTATGATTAGGGTTTCATGTGCCATCTGTATTTTGTAAAATTTAGCAGATTTCATTAATTTGAATCTAAGCACAGTGCTTGTATTCTATGTAAAGCAAAAACACATTAATTTCTACGAATTATACTGACTTGTAGGATTTAATTAAATAAATGAAGCTAAGCACATAAAATAATAGGTTCCATTAAATTTAAATTAAAAGAATGGTATTATTTGTTTTAGAGGGCGAGAATAAATTTATCAAATAAATTACATAACCCCAAAAATGTTCATATATAAAGTAAGTCTTAATGACTGTTAAAGTATAAGTTATTGAAGAAATTCACATTGTACAAAAAAAATTAATAAATCCTTTTATACATATATGTGAAAATTTGTGTGGACTGCCTCCAAGTGAGTCGCCTACCCTGGCAAACTCTGTTGACACCGAGCTCTGAGGTGGGTACCTCAGCCTCACAAGTGGCTTATAGCACAGATTTTCACAAATGATTGGTATTGCAAGAAATCTCACCTGCATGCACGTATAAAGGACTAACTTACTTGGTGTTGCAGCATATATCCTGATCTTCAACTTCCTAAGCCTAGCTTTAGCCCCTTTAGGTCTACTTTATCATTATCTACAGGTGCCTTAGTAAACCTAATATTAGTGTACTACCAGTAAAACTACCTACTCCTTCCTGAAGAGTAAATCTATAAATTAAATAAGCTTACCAACAACCGCCAACCATGAGAATGCTTTGTTTGGGAGGGTTTAAGGGCTGCCCGGCTCAGCCGACCCAACGGCCATGCTGGATCTGAGCTGTGGAACTATTTGGACCAAATAAATTTCCACAATATACGTATACGTATATATATATATATATTTATATATATATATATATATATATATATATATATATATATATATATATATATATATATATACACAGTTGTACATACAGCAGCCTTAATATTCACAAGAGGTATTTTCCCACTTAAAAAATCATCTTGATCTCTTTGTATCTAGCACCAAGATTGACTGGGCTATGGTCAAGATCAACTGTAGATGCAGAGGTCATTCCACTTACAGCAGAAAGAGCTGATACGCCACTCAGACGGTGATTATCTAGTTCAGCTATAATACCACAATCTCTCTTGTGTCTTAAATTAACCCCATTTATTTTCCAAAATCTTTGGTATTTGTTAAATCACTTCGCTGTTTTAAGTCTCCAGCCGACATGTTTACATAGGAATTATCCAAGAGTAGATTGTAATTGGAATCCAGGCCAATGTCTTGGCCTTCATTATCATAAGGGCCTGCTTGTAAACAAGGTCCAGTATAGACCTTATTATTTGATGGCTTGAGGTAGTGCTGTGGAGACATAACACTTGACATTGTGGTCAATGGGAAAGTAAAGGTGACACTGGTAGGATTATCTAGTTCAGCTATAATATCACAATCTCTCTTGTGTCTTAAATTAACCCCATTTATTTTTCCAAAATCTTTGGTATTTGTTAAATCACTTTGCTGTTTTAAGTCTCCAGCCGACATGTTTACATAGGAATTATCCAAGAGTAGATTGTAATTGGAATCCAGGCCAATGTCTTGGCCTTCATTATCATAAGGGCCTGCTTGTAAACAAGGTCCAGTATAGACCTTATTATTTGATGGCTTGAGGTAGTGCTGTGGAGACATAACACTTGACATTGTGGTCAATGGAAAGTAAAGGTGACACTGTAGGATTATCTAGTTCAGCTATAATATCACAATCTCTCTTGTGTCTTAAATTAACCCCATTTATTTTTCCAAAATCTTTGGTATTTGTTAAATCACTTTGCTGTTTTAAGTCTCCAGCCGACATGTTTACATAGGAATTATCCAAGAGTAGATTGTAATTGGAATCCAGGCCAATGTCTTGGCCTTCATTATCATAAGGGCCTGCTTGTAAACAAGGTCCAGTATAGACCTTATTATTTGATGGCTTGAGGTAGTGCTGTGGAGACACAACACTTGACATTGTGGTCAATGGGAAAGTAAAGGTGACACTGGAAGGAGAGTCTGGAATAGGAGATGCGATACTTGGGCTAAGTGGAGTGGATGGAATTGATACCTGAGCTGTTGTGATGAGGCTTGTAGGAGAACGGGGAAAATCTGATGAGGTTTGTGCAGAAAACCTTGGCAAGTCAAATGAGGCTTCAGCACCAAATGGAAGACTAGCTGGAGGTGATCTTGGAGAAACTGGTGGAGATGACAGTAATGGTTCATTGACCAGCTGTAGGTATTGCTGATGCCTCCTTAAAGGAGCTGTCAGAGGTAGGGTGCTTGCTCCTGAGAATGAATCGCACTCTTCAACTTCTACTCCATTCCCTGCATCATCTTGACTTCCATTTCTCCCTCCAAGGTTGATAACACTGCCACTTGTTTGGGCTGACCATGAATTACTTGGTGAGCAATCATTCCCACTAACTAAGGAGTTTCCTGTTAAAGTAAATGGATTTGAGTTTTAAACAGAAATGAAAGTAATACTGAAGTAGAAAATTAGATGAAATTTTCTCTGCTTGTGCAAGAAAATATTACTTTGCCATAATTCACAGGTTTCACTATATATCTAAGCTAAAAAAAAAATGCTGAAAGTCTATCTATTCTGAATTTATTTATTTATTTATTTATTTATTTAACAATTTGAGCACACATACAGAGGTACAAAAAAATACAGATAAGAGCAGCATGCCAAAGCCACTTATACTATGCATAGCATTACGGGCTGGCTTAAAATTAACTTAAGATTAACTAAGCAATGATGAAATCAGTGATAAAACATTAATGTAAACAGATTACTATAAAGCACAAGTGAGTATTACAAAGACAGGTCATATAGTTGCATGCATTGTTGTACATTCAGTCATATGGAGTATTCTGTTAGGGAGTGTATTTAAATAATAATAAAGTTAGATTGGTTTTAGGTTTAACATTTATTGATTAATTGTGAGAAACATTTAAGATATACAATTTATAAGGTTCAGTTATTTCAGTATTTATTTGGTTTTGGGGGAGTAAGTGATCTTTGAGAAGAGACTTGAATTTATAAAAAAGGTAGTGTTTCTTTTTTATTTACAGGTAATGAATTCCACATTTTAGGGCCTTTTTGTGCATTGAGTTTTTGCATAGTGTGAGATGGACACGAGGAACATCAAAGAGTGATCTGTGCCTTGTGTTATGGTCATGTGTTCTGTTGAGGTTGGCTAGGAGATGTTTGAGGGGAGGGTTAATATCAGAGTTAAGTGTTCAAATGTAGTAATAGGTGCAGTAATAATATGGATTGTTTTGTATGGTGAGTAGGTTTAGTGTATTGAATATTGGTGGAGTGTGCTGCCTGTAGTGAGAATTATCATTCTAACTGCAGCCTTTTGTTGGGTAATTAGTGGTCTGAGATGGTTAATTGTTGTTGAGCCCCATGCAAAAATTTCCCAATAGTGAGATAGGGGTAAATAAGAGAGTGATATAGGGCCAGGAGGGCTGACTGGGGAGCATAGTACCGTATCTTCGATAGTATGCCTCCCAGTCTTGGAAATTTTCTTAGAAATTTGTTGTATTTTGTGTACGAAATTTGAGTCTATTATCAAGGTGGATTCCTAAGAATTTTCCCTCTGTTAGCTTTGTGATGGGTGACCATTTATCATTATGTTAAGAGGGACATCTGTAGCTCTGTTACCAAACTGAATGAAGTAGGTTTTGTCAATGTTTAGTGTATTTGTTAGTCCTCATCCAGGTAGATATTTTCTGTAATTCGGTATTTACAGTATTGGTTAGCGTGACTGGGCTCAGGTGGGAGAAGACGTAGTAGTGTCATCTGCAAATAGTGTGGGTTTGAGTAATTGCGAAGCATTTGGTAGGTCATTTAGTATAGGAGAAAGAGAAGAGGGCCAAGGACACTTCCCTGTGGGACACCAACTGTAATTGGTTGTGCAGAAGAGTTTTGCCCCATTTGCGTACACATATTGGCTTCTGTTGCTGAGGTATGACTTGAGGTAGTTGAGGGAGTGCCCTCTTATACCATAGTGTGACAATTTTACGTGGAGCAAGTCATGGTCAACTGTATCAAAAGCTTTACGAAAGTCAATGAAGATCCCCAGTGGGACTTCTTTTTTCTCTGTTGCAGTGTATAAAATGTTCTAGCATGTGTATAATAGCATCATTAGTATTTTATTAGGCCTGAATCCAAATTGGCGGGGGTTGAGTATTTTTTGGGGAGATAAGGTAGGAGTAGATTCGTTTATGAATTAATTTTTCGAAGATTTTTGAGAGAGGTGTAAGTTGGATATTGGCCTATAGTTATTCAACTCTGTTTGGTCTCCTCCTTTGTGGATCGGGGTGACCCTTGCTATTTTGAGTACTGTAGGGAAGGTGGAAGATTCAATGGATTTGTTAAAGAGTGTTGCAATGATTGGTGATAGCACTTGTGACACTTTTTTGTATATAAAGGGTGGTAAGGTATTTAAATCTCCTGCCTTGTTTTTAGTGCGTTGATAATAAGGGAGACTTCGATGGGTTAGTCGGACTAGGAACAGTGTGTTCGGGTAGTTGACGGTGAGGTAGTCATTTGGTGGGGTATCTGAGCTTGGGATTTTATTGGCAAGGTTTTGTCCTATAGTGGAGAAGAAATCATTGAGTCTGTTTGCTGTTTCTTTTGGGTGGGAGTTGGGGTTCATCTGATTTTGCTAATTTTATTTCGCTATTTCGTGATATCTTTTTTGTTCCCAGAATTTCTGATAGGGTTTTCCAGGTCTTTTTTATATCACCTCGTAAGTTGGATAATCTGCTCTCATAATACAATTTTTTTGCCCTTCTTATCAGGCTGGTTAGGATTGATGAGTAATGTTTTGTTTGGTCTCTGATTATGTGACCCATTCTGTACTGTTTTTCATATTGGTGTTTTGTATTTATGGATTTGAGAATGCTGGGTGTTAGCCAGGGACTGTTCAGTCTCTTAGCTGTCATCTGTTTAGTTTTTTTAGGGCAGTGCTTGTTATAGAGGTATTGGGTCTTTTTTATAAAATTATTAATACATTCGTCAATATCTGTATAGATTTCTAGCTCAGTGTGCCAGTCAATGTTTGCTACTGCTGTTGTGAAGTTATTAATGGCTGCCTCATTGTGAAGTCTGAAGGTGACTTAGTAGTGTCCTTGGGTAGTTTACCAAGAGTTGTTATGAGGAAAGTAGGGTAGTGGTCTGTGGTATTATCTTAATTATCCTGTTTTTAAAGGGGATATGGTGTTGGTCCAGTTTGGGGTCAAGTAGGGAAACACAGTCCTGTAACTCTTGTATTTTTTGTTACTGTGGTACAACAACAGTTACCTTTGTTTTTTGTAAATTCATAACGTGTGGGCCCGGGTTTTGCAGAGATTTAAAATTGAAGCACCTGAGAGTAGAAGGACTTTTTCCATGCGTGCATCATTTACATACTTCCTGGGTTTTTAACTAAATTGGGCAAATGTTTGACTGGGGAACTCGTAATGTTTATCAATGTGAGATTTTTTTGTGGTATTTGGAAATTAAATTTGGCTATTATATTTTTCCCCATGTTCACCCCTTTGTCAAGTATTGTGATACCTTCATTGGTCTGATAGTAATGCTGTGCCACCCCCTTTTTGGGTCTGGCCTACAGTTGTGTTGGCTGTGAACCCGGGAAAGGCAAAAAATTTATTATAATCAAAAAGAACGCTAACCCCAAAAGGGGCTAAAACAGCGCTCCCGGTGGGGAAGGGAAAGAAAGGGAATTGGATGGCAGAAGGGAGGGGGATATCAGCATTTACAGAAAACAGCGGGGCGGGGGTAGTAGGGGGGTAGGGGGTAGCAAGATACAAGTAAAGGCTAAAGTATCAAATTTGTAAAGAAAAGTCAGTCGTTGTCAAAAAGCAATAGAGATCCGATGAAAGGGGGGGCCCCACACGAAAGGGAAGGTAAAGAGAGAGCAGCGGGGCAAGACGAACAGAGGAAAAACTGCGTGCTTTTTTATAAGGGGGCAGTCCAACGAAGTGGCTGACTGATAAGGGAGCTTGGAAATTTCTCACAGAGAGGGCAAGCCCTCTCCATGGATATCCATGAGTAAGACGAGTAGGGCCCAAAGCAAGACGGGAGAAAGTGCCCCCAACCCGACACGGTGAAAGAAGACCCATAATCTAACTCGGTTTAAAGACTGAATTTGTTGCCGAGCATAGTAGACCAACTTTGTTCCCCAACGGGTGTAAGGGGGGGAAAATATACAGAAAAAAAGTCCGTACAGGGAAACCTCTAAAAGAAACTGGTGGGTCATGTACGCTACCGCCAGCGTGTCTGCCGTTCTTTGCCCTGTACGTCAACATGACCAGGGACCCAACAAAAAACAATATCTTTATCTTTAAAAAAGAGCGGCGTACCCAAATTTGGATACGGGGGACTAAGGGTGAGGTGTATCAAATTTTTGTATAGCCTGTAAAGCACAAGGGATCTGAGACAACCACAAATGATGACACGGGCATAGAGCAATAGGGAAAAGTGCTGTAAGGATGGCAATAATTCAGCAGTAAAAATACTACTAAATATAAATCCCTTGTAACACTGTCCGGAAACATGCTGCGAACCTACCCGTCAGAAGACTTAAGCCTCTGGTCACGCAAGGGCATGGAATGGGAGTGAAAGGGGTCAAGAAAAAAGAGCGGGAAGCGACCGTAACAGTTGGGCTTTCGAGCAAGGGGGGGAGAAAGAACGACTCGAACAGCTGGAACCCCCGGGGGGTGGGGAAAAGTGAGTGCTCAGTACATAGAAAGGGGGTATTTTAAAGAGAAGAAAAGAGCGAATGAAGGCAAGAGAGAAGGGACGGAGAAGCGGGGGCGGGAACAAATAAAAAAATTCACAAATATCAGTGACCATTCAAAAATGGAAGGTTTGCGGAGATCGAAGCGTACATAGTAGCGCAGGCAATGGCATCACGGCGATCGGATAAGGAGGAACGTTCGCTTCTGCAAGAGGCTTTCGACAGGGAAAGAGCAAAAAGCCCAAGGCAAAAAACGTCCTTGGGGATAAAGGGGGTTTAAAGGGCAAAAGTACAAAAGGGGCCGCGAATAGATCGGGTCACCTAATCAAGTTTCGATAAAAAAAGGGGTGGAATGTAGGTAAAGGAGGTTCGACGATCAGCTCCCCACGAAAAAAGAGAAAGGGGTTTTTAAGAAGGTTCACCGGCTGTGACAAGTTTTCCTCAGAGAGGAAGTGAGGTTTCCAGGTAAACCACGACAAAGAGGAGGCCCAAAACTTGACTGAACACGTTCGGATCGTGAGCCAAGAGGTACAAAGGATGATCAGAGAGAAAAAAGCGCTAGTGAAATGATTGGGGGTTTATGCTGGAAAATTTAAACCCATGTGGGTGGGCCCCAAATTGGGGAAAAACGGGCGCTGCATACTGGGGAGAAACTGTAAGGGGGGTGACAGTCACGCCTGCACA